ATCGGTTTCCCCTTGTTTGCGAGATCAATCTTGACTATTGGTGCATATTTACTAGAACGATGTGACGTCTAGTTTATCCGGCTTTTTTTAGGTTTGACGAGACATGAATACACGAGTGTGGACTCGGCTTATTTTGTTCAGTTCGTCGAAACAGTGCGAGTACTGGGTTAGGCTTGTGCAAGGTTATACCTTGGCTATCTAGCATGCGACTAAAGTGTTCGGGATGGACTCGAGACATTATGAGGTACGACGCTTGATAATCAGCTTACCCCGTATTAGTTTGATGGGTCGCAGAAATGCGAGTTTGGCTTCGGCTTACAACATCCGATCGTCGAAACTTTGGAAGGATGGAACTCAGCTTTCATACCCGTAAGTGTAGGTTTTTTTCTCAGACCGTTTTACTGGTTTTTGGCAGACTTAAGTAAGCGTGTGCTTTCTCGTTCGAACGTGTTCGATCGAATGTCAGGCCAGGCGTCGACTTAAAATTTGGTTCGTATCATTAATGCTACAAGCCGTTCGTAGTTCATATTACATAAGGAGGCCACGAAAAAGCCTTCTACACTGATTATTGGAGTTCCAAATGCGTGGGACTTCGACACCGTTTATAGTGAGGAGCTCGTCGTCGCTTGGATGAACGAACTTCGAGATTTGATAGGGGCCTTCCCAATTTGCTCCTAACTTACGTGCGTTGAGAGAATAGAGAGAATAGATAGAAGAGAAGTGTTTGTGATCGGCGATGGCTTCAATGGAGGACCGGAAGTTAAAAACGACAGAGAAGAGTATCAGAGGCTCTATGGTTGTCTCTCTATGGGGGCTTCTGAAGATTGTCGATGACACACCCTAATTGAGGTTTAGAAGAAGTATTTATAGACAACGGTAAGGAGAAAGTCGGTTTGGGGTTTTTCGGACAAAACTACGTAGTTTCACTTAAGTGCAAGGACGGAGGAGCTCAGCCCGATCACGATGCTCTGTGACCATGCTCAACAAGAGGCTCAAGACCGGCCACGTGCGCTGTGACCGGTCCCAACATGGGCTTCACCACCGGTTACAAGGACAGGACTTCTTCAATCGGTTGTAACTTTGTTTGGTAGACGGGATTGAGTTGATTCTTCCTCCACAGTAATTTTTACTCTTCTAGCTTTCCATAGAGTCCAAGATATCTACCTTTTCTTCACGGGAAAGCCTCCAACGGACGCCTAACTTCTAGAGCTTTGAATCTGTCTTGAAATGGGTTTTGCTTGTCTTTTGGTCCATTTTGCTTTAAAACTCCTAAAACCTTCTTGACTCCAAAATTACTTGATTATATCCTCTTTAGCCTTGAAATGGTACCAAACACTTCCTAAAACATAAGAAAATAATAGCTAAAATAGACGAAAATGCCATGTAATCATAGTACTCTACAGCGGTGAGCTTGTTATTCTGAATTCGACAGAGTGCGGTGTTTCGCGTTTCTTCAAGTTCGTCGAGACTGTCGAGCATCATTTTGTTATTGAGATCAGGTTCTTTACTATCATAGAGCGTCTAAGGCTGGTATCGCCGACCTCGGTGGGTGCCATTGCTTACATTATGTATGCTAATGCGAACGAAGTTTGGTAGGTCACGTTTCGGGGCGTTGTTCGGTATGACCAGAGGACACCGTACAGTTCGTCTTCCCATACTCCTTTTTTGGCTTCGTGCCGTTTCTTGAGGCCGGCGAGTACTGTTTTGCTCGTCTCCTCGGCTTGGCCATTTACTTGTGAGTAGCGCGGCGTCAATTTTTTTAGTCAAATCTTCCACATCCCTCTCAATTGCAGGTATTAAGATCCCCGGAAGGTTTGCTCCAAAGCCTAAGGCAACGTTAGTTTGATCTGCAGGCTAGGGGAGGCCATTCTCCATACATAAACGCTTCCGTGAAGGGTTGTTGACAGGATCCCTAGTAACAAAGGACGCCACTTTAGGAGCTTATGTAGCTTGTGGTTTTGAAGCTGCTGCCTTTCCGCCTTTGTTCCTAACTGAGTAGCTGCCGTAATGTGCTCATTTGAGTCTCTACACTTTCTCCGCACCTCGGAAGCTAAGAAATATTGTTCTATGGGCGTTAAGACACACATGAGCAAGGCTTATGACCGTATTGAATGGTGATTCCTTCTAGCGGTTCTTAAAAAACTTGGCTTCTATGAAAGGTGGATCTCTTGCATCTTTACTTGTGTAAATTCGGTCTCTTTTACTTTCCTTACCAATGGATCGCTCCAAGGGCTTGTCACTCCTTCTCGTAGGTTACGGCAAGGAGATCCTCTATTTCCATATCTCTTCATCTTGTGCACGAAAGTATTATCCAGTTTTTGTTCCATTGCACAAACCATAGACCGCCTCCCGGAAATTAAAGTTAGCCGAGCAAGTCCTCCCGTAAACCTTCTTATTTTCGGATGATACGATGTGCTTTGTAAGTCAAGCCCCTCGTGTTTCTTGGCTCTTACAAAAATCCTTGAGAAGTATGAGAAAGCGTCGGGGCAAAAAATAAATCTCTCAAAGTCGGCAATTACCTTCTCCTCTAAGACTCCGGCGGAAACAAAAGATAAAGTGAAGAGAACTCTCAAAATTAATTTTGAAGGAGGAATGGGGAAGTATCTTGGGCTTTCCGAAAATTTTGGGAAAAAGAAAAAAAAGACATTTTGGTGTCTTTGGTTGAAAAATTTAGTCAAAGGGCTCATAGTAGGTCCACAAGATTTCTCTCTAGGCCTTAGACTTTCTTATCCGTCAGATCGGTCTAAGCCGCGGGTAGCAAATTTTAAGGAACCGGTTTCATAGTCTTTCTCTTAAGACTGTTTCATGTTAGAATTTGAAACCGGCCCAAAAGTCTTTCATAAAGACTGTGATGCCGTGGTACCTTCAGATTTTAGTCTTTGCCTTAGATCTAATAATTAAATCTAAAGATGTAAATTGCTTAAAATAAAGAACAAAACTTACCGAGGAGATGTGTTTGACCTTAGAGACAGAGAAGTACTTCAAGAATCACCCTCCATGACATGAATCAAAGCTGAAATCTTATATACATCAATGTAGTTTCTTCAACCTCAAGATATTGTTGCGGAGATCAAATCTCAAAGAACAAACACCAGAATCTAATAACCCAGAAACTGATTCCTTGCTGCTGAAATTTAGAAAAAAAAAAATCACATGAGTTACAAAAACAGTCGGAAATATCAAAGTAATTGCTTTAATATACCCAAATTCAATCGCACAAACATGAATCAGAACCAATCAAGAAACTAAAAAAAGGTCTGTATACAAAATCAAGGATCGAAGCGTAATTAAGACAGTTATTAATCAATCTTTGGATAAATCGAATCAAACTCAGTACAAAACTTAAATCTATTAAGAGGATATAGAAGATGATCTGTGAAAAATTACGAACCCTAATCGATCTATCGGTTAAAGTCAAATATTTGTCTTTGATCAAAGATCAACACGAAGAAAATCAAACGAATAGAGTAAAAAAGAAAGATCCAAGGAAATAAATCGAATATACCGAATAAGAAATCCGAAATCTACCTTTGATCACTATTGAGAGAATGATTTTGATTTCAGAAACTGGAAACAAAATTGTGACGAAGAAGAGATCTTAGTGATTCTCCTGCGGATTAAACGAAGAAGGAATCGTTGGATGAGGAAACCCTAATTTACGGAATAAGAATTAATCAAAGGAGGAAAATCGAAGGTACCTGAATCAGAACGTTTGGGAAGAAATTGTAGAAGAAGGAGGAATGTGAACGTTTGAAGTTAAACCTTGAGTAAGTGGCTCTAAAAACTGGCGAGAGTTTTGAAGTCGGCAATCACAGTTGGACCTTTTTAAATGGGCCTTTATCGCACCCAAATTATTAAATGGGCTTTTACAAATTCCCATTAGGGAATTATAAAATACCACGAAAATATTAAATATCTTAGTACCATTTTGTAGAAATTCATCTTCTTACAAAACGAAAATCATTCTTTTGAAAATAATTGCGCTATAAATATCTAACTTCTTAATATCTCATTAAAATGTAGAGATTTATTTCATTGAAATACAGAAGAGAAACAACACGAAATAAATTTTCAGACATTTTAATTATATTTTTAATATGGGCCATAAGTGGCCCAACTAAAATATGTCCATAAGTAGCCCAATACCAGAAAACACTAGTTGTAACATTAAACATCTTCTAGAAACATTCCGTTAATACCGTCAGATTATTACAATCTCTGTTGTTTCCATTTTTTTTCGGAAAAAATGTCGGAAAATGCGCCAACTTTCAAATTTAAGACAAAAAAAGCATGAACTTTCGAAATGTCATTTAAATAATAAAGTTTAGTTTGAATTTTGATTAAATGGTTAAGTTTTCGTTGACCTGACCATTTCGGACATGTCGTTAAATTTCCGTTAACGAGACGATGACGGAGTTAACTTTCCGTTAGAAATCTCCGTTGAATCGAAACGAAAAAAAGTTCGATTCTTCACAGACGCAGTTAATTCATTTTATTTTCTAGTGAAATGAAGTTATTTTGTTGTTTTTAAACCGACGTCGTTTCGATTCAACGGAGATTTCTAACGGAAAGTTAACCCCGTCAATGTTTTGTTAATGGAAATTTAACGACATGTCCGAAATGGCCAAGTCAACGAAAACTTAACCATTTTATAAAAAGTCAAACTAAACTTTATGATTTAAATGACATTTCGAAAGTTCATGATTTTTTTTGTCCCAAATTTAAAAGTTCGCGCATTTTCCGATATTTTTCCCTTTTTTTTTTTTCCTCTAGTAAACAAGAATCGAAGACTTTTGATTTCGTTTCTCTCTGAGAGAATAAGGAAGACGAATACAAAGATGAAGAAGAAGGTGACAATGGCGTACGTTAGTATGGTTGAAGAACACCGGCGAATCACTGAATACTTAAACCGTTTATGCGACGCCGTTTCGTACCAAGACTCTTCTACATTGCCGTCTCCTCTCTTTCTCTTCCAATTCTCCACCTCTTTTCTCACTCGCCGACGCACTCAACGTCTTCCAGGTACATAATTTCTCTGTTTAATCAAAACCCATGATTTAAATTAGCAGCTTGAAACACTTGAAGTATGTTCCTACGATTAGTGGTATGATCCTCGTATTGGTAAAGTTTGTGTCTTTTAGGTTGTAATATGTTCCAATGGGGTACTCTTATGAATTTTTAATTTAGGGCTCGAAACACTAGGGCCATGATCTTTATGTTAGCAAAGTTTGTACCTTTTAGGTTCAATCAATTTCATTCTAGGAAAAAAAAAAAAAAAAAAAAAATTCATTCTAGGAGTATGATTTTCCTATTGAGTATGAATTTTTGAATTTAGGGTGTGAAAGTGTCTCTGATTGAGGTGTTGTAGTGAATACTCTTTGTCTATGTTTGAGTTTAATGTTTATGAGTATGGATTTTAGATTTAGGGCTCGAAACTTTCTCGATTTTTATGTAGAGAGTTGTGAAGGAGCTTAATCCTTTGGATTTTATTTTCTTTGGCAGATACAGGATGCTAGCAGTTTGATTAGTTAGTCTGATAAATTCTCTGAATATGGCGAGATTCTGGCTCATTTGTTTCGTTCTCTACAAAGTTACCGAGTTTGGAATCTAGTCGAAGCATACCTTGCTTTTGAGAAGTCTACCAAGTAAAGTATTCTTGTTCCTCTCTGCTTCTCTATTGGTGTCTAATTTGATTTCAGGTTGTTAAGTTTTTGTGTTCACAATGTCTGATATTTTTTTGGATTCTATATGTGCAGGAGTTTCATAATTGGGAATCTGCTTGGGCATTGGAAGCTCTCTGTGTAGTTTGTTATGAAATTCGAGTTCTTGCGGAAAAGGTAGTATCTCATTTGTATATCCCTTTTTGAAATTCTTAACCTTGTTTAGTTTCATTGCCTCGAGGACTCAATTCTGAAAGCATGATTTTTCCACATGGAATTGCAGGCTGATAAAGTGTTAACTTCTAATGGAAAATCTCCCGAGAATTAAAAGCAGCTGGATCACTTCTCATGAAAGTTTTTGAAGTTCTTGCTGTAAGTTTTCCCTTTGATCTATCTATAAATCTTCAGGAATATTAGTTTATGTTTTTGTTCAGTTTCTTTTTTGGCTCCTTATGTAGTTTTTAACAGTAGGGGAAAGGTCCAAAACGAGTCGGAGCATTATATGTGACTTGCCAATTGTTCAAGACCTACTTTGAGGTGATATGCTTTCTGGAAACAGTTTGATATATATGATTTGAAATGATTGTGTATAGAGTACAAAACAGGTGTCCCTAATTCTGTATTTCAGCTTGGAACCGTCAATCTTTGTCGAAGTGTAATAAGAAGTATCGAAACTGCTCGGATATTTGACTTTAAGGAGTTTCCAAGAAGGGACAAGGTCTAGTGCAATTCTCTGCAAACAATTTTAGTTTTTGGCCACCTGATTCGGTTACTTATTATCTTCTGTTTCTTCTTCACAAACACCAGGTTACATACATGTATTATACCGGACGATTAGAAGTATTCAATGAAAATTTTCCTGCTGTGAGTCACTAAGAGATTTTTTCATTCCATCACAGCTCATTTCATAGTGTCAATCGAAATATTGATAGTAACATTTAATCATTTTTTGGATCTTGCAGGCTGAAACAAAGCTATCATATGCCTTGCAATATTGCAACCCCAAAACAGAACGGAATATAAGGTCTGATTGTGGTTGTTCTCTGTGATTATGCTACTCTTGCGTTACGTTGCTTAATCAGCTTATGTGGCTTTTGTGTATCAGGATGATATTGAAGTATTTGATACCCGTGAAACTTTCAATAGGAATTATACTAAAATATGAACTCTAACAAAATTATAATCTGCATGAGGTAACAACTTTCTTTTGTTCTATGAAATTCTCTTCAATTCTATTCAGAATTTATTTCTCATCTGCGGGTGATATTATGTCTCTCTTAATCCAACTTCTCCACGTGTCCAGTACACAAAGATTGTGCAAGCTCTGAGAAAGGTTGATCTCAGGCTTCTCCGGCATGCTCTTCAAGAACATGAAGATCGGTATGTATTTCTTTTGACATCTTGCTTTGCTCATCTGTATCCAAATGATAAGGTCCTTGTGGTTACTCTAGTCAGTGCATGAGCATTGTAATTAGCGTAGGCTGCTTGTAGTGGATCATGGATGTGTTGACAGCTCAGTAATAATTGGTTGTTAGGTAGAGAGCTAACAGGTTATAAGAAAGTTGGGGCAGAATGGGATGTTCTGGATTGTTCTAGGGGTTAGGATTTGCAGTAGGGTCGAGAGTAGAGTTGCTTTTGGTAGTTACATGACGCAAGTCTCCCTATGCAGTAAACAACTTAATATCGATCTAATACTCTTTATACAGGTTCTTGAGGTCGGGTGTGTATCTTGTCTTGGAAAAGCTAAAGCTCCAAGTCTACTAGAGACTAATGAAGAAAATGTAAGCAAGATTAATGTAACACAAGCAATCAATCCATCCAAGATTCTCGGATTACTATAGTTTCATAACTCTTATTATCAATGTTTCAGTTATATAATCCAGAAGCTGAGTGATCCAGCGAGAGCTCACCAGCTGAAGCTTGAAGTGATTGCCAAAGCACTAAGATGGCTAGAAATGGACATGGATCTCGACGAGGTTTCTCCTACGTTTTTGCACGTGGAATGTATAATGACGATCTTGATATACAAAAACCTTGTGAAAGGTTATTTAGCACACAAGAGCAAAGTGGTAGTTCTAAGCAAGCAAGATCATTTCCCTAAACTAAATGGGAAGCCGGTTAGCTCAAAAGTATAACTTCACGTGTAATCCCTGCAAATTGCGGGTTGTTTTTGTTGTTGTGTCAAGAAACCCTGTTTAAACCAGAGCTTAAATCACATTATTTACTTCATGGCTACCGATGATAGGGTGGTCGATTTTATTTTGCTCAACGAGTGGATTATCTTTTTTTGGGAGGCTTCAGAATTCCTCCCTTCTGAGTATCTTGGTCCTTTGTCTTGACCTTTGTCTTCTGTTTCCTATCATCATTGCTATTAGTAAAGTGTGAATTTGGACGTTTTGACGATACACCAACCTCAAAGCGGCTTGGCATTCTGGGAGTGATTCCTTCAGTAGTATTTGGGGAAATAGTAGACCTTGTGGAAGGTTGCCTTCTCCATGTAGCAGTTCGCGGAATTGGATAATCAGATTGTTGGAATCCTTCTAGACTTGATGTGTGAAATTGAGGATAGGTAGCAGCAAATTCTTCAAGGTTCTGTGGTGGGGAATCCAATCTTGGTGATGGAGTCAAAGGCGCGGGAAAAGAGTTGTCAGAGTTTTGAGACGGAGAGTTATGATTGGATCTTGGAAGTGAAGAAACAACAGCTTGTAGACTTTGAGATCTGGTGTTGAGAAGTCGAGCAATAAGTTTGACTCTATTCCTCTCGATTGCGTCAACATAAGTATGCTGAGGAATAAAGAGCTTAGGATCGTCACAACCTAAGTTGAAGTATTGTAGATCATCCCATAGACTATCTGCCATGGTTAGAGATAAAGAAAAATTAGAAAGAAAGAAAGAAAAAATATTTTGGGTGAGGAGGTAGAAGAAGAGAGTGAAAGTATTTATAAGAAAGATAACTAGGTAGAAAACGAATAGGTTTGGCAACCCAAGATTGACTAAAAATCAAGATAATGAAAATAACTATCAAGGTAAAACAAAAATTAATCATGAAAGAGAAGATAAGAATAGAAGAACCTAGAAATAAAGAAAGAAAAATAAACTTAAGACTTAATTATATTTAGCTAGGAGTTAAAAGCCAAAACTTTGTCGTGACAGAGTTAAAAAGGACTAGATTCAAACCTGCTGGATCAAATAGAGTTTGCAAGTTAAAACCCAAGTCCCAAAAACATTCTATCTTTCTGAATCAAAGAGATTTAAGCCAAAAAGGATAACCTGTTGCCACATAAGATTGAAAACGATTGCCTTGAATGACACTCTGAGAAATAAGTGACGCCGCTTTGTTTGATTTAGTGTCTACTTTTTCAAGCCCCCAATCCTGTATTGGAGCTAGCTTCCTGATGATTTCAGCACCAAAATATTGTAGAGAAGGCCAATCTTGAGGCTTATTGGTGGAATTTACCATGTCAATGGCTTCAGAAGCAAATATCACAAAGTTGAATTTATGACTAATCATGCTATCAATAGCCCATATAATGCTTTGAAACTTAGCTTCTGTCACAGAGACAATAATGGAGAAGGAACGTCTACTATGCAACAATACAATGACATTCCCATACAATGTCATTCCCATCTCCTAAAACCCATGAAAAACCACCAATTGTATTCTCTTTGACCAAGACATTCCGATTTTGCATTTTAACCATGGAGCAGGGGGTTAGACCAAGTCTTGGTGTTCTTGCCTCTGTCAAAGGTTTTTGATCTTGCATATTTGGTTCCATTGATTTGAGCATTAACCCATTGTGATGCTTCATCTTTAATTTTCAAACCAGATCCATAGGCACAATTTGTTTTCCTTCAAAGAAAAAGTCATTTCTATTCTTCCATAGATACCAAAGTTTCCATAGAAAAATCCTACGAATATGATCTGGAATATCTTGATTCTGAACCAGTGAAAGCAGATATTGAAAATTAGTAAATTCAGAGTGGGATTCAAAACCACCAGGTGGACATGGAAAATCAGAGAGAGCCCAAACTTGCCGCTCAAAAGAACACTGGAAAAGAACATGATTGGTGGATTCCTTGTTCCACCCACAGAATTGAAATCTCATATCATAGCTCATTCCTCTAATTTTTAACTTATCTGCTACAATAATTGCACCACTTAATGCTCTCCAGATAAAAGATTTGATTTTCGGAGAAATGTGTAATGACCAAACTTGGATCTTGATATCATTTAAAGAGGATCTTGTCTCAGCAGCTGCAATAAGATCAAAATTGTGTAATTGGTTCGCTAACCAATAGCCTGATTTAACTGAATAGTCTCCACTTCTATCTATATATACATTTTTGGATCACAATTAGCAAATAAATCCTGAAGTTGAGAAGTATTTACAATGGCATGCCATTAGCATTAATTATTTAGATTTGTTTTATTTAAGTAAAGATTTTTAAATGAAATTCATTTCTCATATATTTAGCAAAAGTCTCTACAAAATCTTTCCTTATCCATTTAAGTAAAGATTTTGAAATCAAATATGTTCTCAACAATTTACCAAAAATCTCTACACAATCTTTTTAAAAATCTCGACTTAGTTAACTTCTGAATTTTATCTGCAAAAAAAAAATATTAATAGTAACGAGTGATGTAAAAATCGGGAATGTTGATATTACAATTTCTTCTACTTCTTTTTTTTTTTCATATAATGAAAATTATTTTTTAGGGATACTTTCTCAAAACCTCTAAATAAAACAAAAGGTTTCAAAAGATAGCTTCTCTTTTGGCGGGTCGACACGCAAACCCGCAACTCTCTACGGGCTTATCCGCATGAACCTGCAACCCGTAGTGGATAAAAATATTATTCAAAAAAAATAACAAATGATGTTTAATTTTACGGGACAAGGTTATATGGTGCAACGGGTTTAGATCGATATTAATATTAAACAATATACTATGGATGAAATCTTAGAATTAAAAATCAAAATTTAAATATAAAATCAGAAACACTAAACAAAATAAATAATATTAACAAAACAAATACAACTTAAAATTTTGCTAAATAATTTTTTAGTTATAAAAAAATTGACCCGCGGTGTACCGCGGGGTAAAATCTAGTTATGCATCCAACACAAAAAGTCATCTCTTGTGATCACATGTTTATTTAGCAATATAAGATTCACATCTCTTGGGTAAAATAACTCTTGCAACCTTTGTAAATTCCATGCTCTTTCCTTAAAGTCAATTAAAGCTGAAACCTTCAAGTTCAAATCTACAAAGATATTCATCATGAAAGGAACTCGCATTCTCTCATCATACAACAAGGATCAATCCATACATGTGAAGAGTTACCATTACCAATCATTTTTCTGAGACCTGGAATAAGCAATTGACGCCCATGAATAATACTTCGCCAAATATATGAAGGACGGGAACCAAACGTGCAGAGCGGATATCATTATCTTCAAAATATCTGCTTTTCATAACTCTAGCAAATAGGCAATTAGGATGCTGCAAAATTCTCCACACTTGTTTAGCTAGAAAAGCCTGATTAAAGCATTATAAATCCTTAAAACCTAAGTCACCTTGTTCCTTGGTTAAACATAATTTCTCCTGACTAAACCAATGAATTTTCTTTTTATGTTCTAAAGAGTTCCACCAGAAATTGGATATGACTGCACCTTAAACTTTTAATTAGATTTTAAATTAATGGATTTTTAATATAAAAAATAATGGCACAGCCCTTCTTTCATGAAACACAAATGTTTCATTTTCATCTTCTACGAAACACAAATCCTCTTTGAGACTAACTCTTGTCGCCAGATTCTCGCCGTCTCGTCGTCTCATGTTCTCATCCCTTCACCAGATTCACGTCGTCGGTCTCTTGTCGCAGGTATACCGTTTTCTCGCCGAAGAAGAAACAAAGATTTGTACGATTCCATCGAAAACGAAGAAGAAAGAGAGATTTGAGAGCATGCATCTTCGATCTCAATTCTCAAAGTAAGCTAGTCTCTCATGCTAACGATTGTGGTTTTCTGGCTTTTGATTTGTCTGATTGAAACTTAAGGTGTGACTGATTTGTGGAAAAATTCTCTTGGTGCGTCCTTTTCAAAATTGAGAATTCAATATCTCCAAAATTGGGTGTTAATGTTGGGTAAAAGTGTTTTAATTGTTCCTCTTACATTTCTATTGCATATTTCATGAATATTCAAACTCATCGGTATGTTTTTGATAATTGTTAACGGTTTTAAAATTCAGGAAGAACTTCATAACTGTATTATACTCTATCAGAAAAATTTTGGGTTTTCGCTTAGGCACCTCTAGACGAGTTAGAGGGTTTCAACCTTAGTCACATAAGGCTTAAGTCACCGGGAATATTTCCATTTTTCGTCGGATTTTGGGAAGATCTTCTTGTTAGAGTCGTATTTTTAAGGAATATTCACCTTCGTTTGAGGTTTTAACCTACTTTTGACAATCTCCGCCGCAGTTTGCTTCAAACCTTCAAACCCTTGATTTTTGAAGTATCTACAGAGGAGAATTCCAGTCTGCGTGTGTCTTACGTATGGAGTTTGCCTTGGACAAAGCCTTACAAGAGATGACACTGGAAGATGATAAACCAATAGTATTGAAAAACCACCCTAAGTATAGCTCTATGGTGCGGAATGGCTGCAGTATCATAGGAAAGCTTCTATGTCCAGAAAATCAGAAGATGTCAAGTTTGATACATGAGATGCCACAGCTGTGGCGAGTTAATAACAGAGCAAGAGGTATCGCTCTACCAAACGACAAATTCCAGTTCATCTTTGATTCTGAATCAGACCTGTTGACGATTCTAGAAGCCGGAGCTTGGACCTTTAATGATTGGAGTATGACTTTGGAGAGATGGATTGAGAACCCGCCGGAAGATTACCTAAAGATCATTCCGATTTGGATCAGGTTAAGGAACATTCCGGTTAACTATAATACTGAAGAAACAATCAAAGACTTTGCTGAACACATCGAACAAGTAACAGATGTGGCCTTTGATCCCCTGAAGCCGAGAAGTAGAGGTTATGTCCGGGTGCGTGTTCTGTTTGACATTAACAGACCACTGAAAAAACTGTAGAGATCTCCAACTTCCGACGGGGGAGATAGTAAGCATTGGAATTGAGTATGAACGAATCAGGAAGAGATGTTACCAATGTTTGCGCCTTACTCATGACAAGGAACGATGTCCCTTTAATCCTTCAAACCGGCAAGCAATTGCTACGGGTGAAGTTAAAGCTGCGAACATTATTCCGAGTCGCTTAATTCCTAAAATCAGCAAAGATGATCCCTTATTTGGAGTGCTCACGGATGATGATGTTGGAATTGACCTAGTATCGGGGAAACCAAAAATCGCTAAGGAAGTGCTTGATGAGATGAGACAGTATTTATCGGTTGTTGATCAACAGGAGAAGAAGATTCGAATTGAGAGAGTCCGCAAATCAGTTTGGGGTCTAGAGAATGATATTCAAGGTCAAAAGACTCTTCTACGCTTGGAAGCTCCTGCACGGGTTACAACTGACATAAATAAAGGGAAAGGGTTAGTGTTTGATTTTCAACATTCAAGCAACAACTCACTAGCTATTGCGAGCTCACCTCGAGTGGATACCACTGAAAAGAAACAAGACAATGAATCAGTAGCAAGACATTCCTCTTCCAATCCCTATACTACGGCCTCTGAAAATTCTTGCGGTTCTACGGTGTTTCGGGCTGGTTCTGCAACTAGCCCATCCGGAACCAAAGCTAAACCTACCAAGACTAGGAGGCGTCCTAACCAATGGAAGAGGAAGGCTCAAGCTCGTGCAAAGGCCTCAGGTCAATTAGTATCTCAAGAAGGAAAGAAGACTGACGTAACCATGGTGTACAAGAGAAAGGCTACTGATGAAGCCGCAAACTCATC